AGGGAAGGAAGGGAAGGAAGGGAAGGAAGGGAAGGAAGGGAAGGAAGCCACCACTAATTTGGATCTGAGCATCGGCATTTGGCACATTCGCTTCTTGGGGGGAGGTAAGAAAAAGCTGCCCTCCACCCCCCCAAGAACACGACACAAACACCGCAGTCACATCATGGCAAGAAAATGGCCCCAGCCTCAGTCATCATAAAACATTTTATTGTATAAAAATAAATCTTCCTTCCACCGCGCTGTGCAGTGCGTAGAATTGAGGTAATGTTGTGAAGGACTCGAGGAGGAGCTCACAGCAATTAATCTGACGCCCCTAATTGGGAGCTGACAGCCCCCACTGCTCTGATCTTTTAACAAACGCATCCGAAAATGTGGAAACAAGCACCAAAAGTTGGGCAAAAGATTGATATCTCTGTAAGAAACCTTTCCCTGAGGCTCAGTGAGCTCTTCCTGCAGGCATCACCGAGACGGGCAGCCAGCTGCTGTCAGGCTGGATTGCAGACCAGAACTGGACCAAGAAGTACCATTACCACGCAGCTTACCTGGTGCTCTGTGGTGTCACCAACCTGCTCTGCCCCCTGGCCACCACCTTCCCTCTGCTCATGACCTACGCTGTGGCCTTCGCCATCTTCTGCGGTGGATTCCTGGCTCTGGTGCTCCCTGTGCTGGTGAGGATATTTCAGTTTTAAATTACACATATATATATGATGGAATATAATATGGAACAAAATAGAAACGTATGGTATTTCTAACAGCATTCCAAAACACATAACAACATTTTTGTGAGGCTGAAGAGCCCCAGTGTGCTCCTGTGGGCTGCAATGACAGGGACCTGCCCCCAAATCCCTATGGCAGGGCTCCAGTCTGCCCAGCCCTGGCAATGGGAAGCAGCAGCAGCACTGGGAGCTTCTTGAATTGCCTTCCGCATCCTCCTTTCTAAAAGCTGATAGGAAGCAGAACGAATCCATTCACTGACTACCCTGTAATGCAAAGCCAAAGGGCTGTAAGCGTGGTCCCAACCCTTGGGCTGTCTGTGACACACACAGAACGGCCACAGTGGGATCTGGATGGGGAAACATCCTCGCAGCTTGGCTGCCCTCCCAGGGTGCACCCAAACGGTGGGAAGACAGAAGTGCACTTTGCACGCTGCAATTTCAGCGCTGACCTTCGGGAGGCGAGCAGATTCCAGGCTGAGTCAGACCCGGAGGTGCAAAGTCCTCCCCAAACCCCACAGCATCCAGAGATGAACTTCTCCACAAAAGGTCTTCAGTGCTTCCCACCGCCCCTCCCGCTATTTACCTGCGTTTACACCAACAGGTCGACCTGGTCGGCGTGCAAAAACTCCACAGCTATTTGGGCTTTGCTTCCTTCTTTGCTGGGATAGCAGCTGTTGGCGGGCCTCCTCTCGCAGGTAATGTAAACCCTTCACATCTCACATACCCACCACCAGCATCCAGTAGTAAAACCTTCTTCTGGATCAGCCTCCTACCCGTACACATCCACGGATGGCTTTTCTGTCCAAGCAGATAAAACACAACACGTTTGAGAACCGTCAGCTTTGTGCACAGGAAACAGTTTTGCTCATGAATGTACAGAGTGACAGCTGCATGGGAAAGGAGCTCAGCACCCACAGCACAGCAGCACCGACTTCACTACTGTTGGGTTTGACCACGATCAGGGCACTGTTAATACTGAACCAGAAACAGAGGGACTGAAGGAAGACAGCCCTGCGTCAGTGCTCCGTGACACCACCTCCGTGCTGCAGAGCTCCAGCAGCCCTGCCATGCTGCAGGCATGAGAAAGATTGATTTCCCTAATCAGTATCTCTAGGTTGGCCAAACTCTGGGTATGGATGCAATTTGGAGCAGCTAAAGCGTTTCATTGACAGCGTGCTTTACTCTGTCACAGTGATCCATAGCCCGAGCTGGAGCAGATCTCTTCTACTGATACAAGATGGACGTCCAGCAGAAAGCAATACCTGCAAAACCAGCGCAGGAAATTTTCTGACAGAATAACATACGGTGTGAAAAGAGCTAAGTAAGTTGGCTCTCCTTCATCCATGCATCATGCAGTGGTTATGCTTTCCCTCTGCTTCCAATCTATTTTCGCTAATTGGAAGCCTTCTGCTTCCTGACGATGCGAGGACGGGTCTGGGCTTCGTAAAGCAAGCAGGCTTTCGGTGAGAAGCCCCATGCAGAGATCAGCCTTCTCCATCCAGATGGGATAAATCGAGGCCCAACAAAGCCAAGGAGTCACACTGATCCACCTCACTGCAAGGAGGGCGAGAGGGAAATGAGTCACAGCTCGGATCCAGGTTTGTGGCACACCACAGTTTTCCTTTTGCTGTAGTTTTCTCTTCCTATGCTTTCTACTGCAATGCTCCGACACTGCCATAGGAAACATGAAAACCAGTTGGGACTACCTGCTAACTCCCTGTTTCCAACAGCAGCTGCTCCTTGCAGAACACACAACAGGACTGAAGTGCTAAGAAAGACCTTGGGGGTTTCAGTGCATCCCACTGCTGCTGACCTCCCTGAAATGCTGACCTCAGAAGCCCAGCTTGCATCGTTTTTGCAGTGGAAGCCACAGCATGAGGGAGACACGGGTTATAAATGCTTATTGTGCACAGCAGAGCAAAGCCTGATCACAGTGCAATGAAGAGGTGACTTACGTGCAAATCTGTTTAACTGCAAGCCCTTAAGCCAGGGCTGAGGCTCCTCATAGCTGGGTGCTCCTGCACTCCTGAACAGCAGAACAAGGCAGAACAAACATCATTTTGGCAAGCTACAAGGGAGCCAAGGAGAAGGCACAACCTATTTCCTAAGGAGGAGAAATCAGTAACAAACTGCAAAAGGGGAAAAAAAACAAACCATCACCACACAAACGATGTAATTCAAGACCCCAAAACTGATTCCAGCAGGCAGCACACAGCAACTCCAGCTCCAACAAATGTGGGAGGTAAAGGAGGAGAGGAAGGAGTCATCTGAAAGCAGCATTGGCACAGGGATTTAAATGCTCTCACCTCCAGCATGGCTGCCTTTGTGCTAGGCATTGCTGTTAGGAAATGTGCAGCAAACAAAACCCAGAGGTGCCAGGCCCCTCACAGAGCAGCTCTGCAACTCCAACAACACAACCAGCTTGCAGAACCACCACTCTGCTGTGTGTTGCAGGCACTCAGCTCCCTGCAGCAGGATTTGGCCCTTCTTGCTCAGGGAGAAGCACGCAGGCTCTGAAAGGACGTGCTGTGCTCAGAGCATCACCTGCATGGCACTGCCAGCCAGGAGGGGACACTGAGGCTTCAGCAGAGCTTCTGTGTATTAAAAAACAACCAGAAAAATCCCGCATTTAGAAAGATCACGAAGATTTTAAAAGTAATAATAAAAAGATTCAGAGCTTATCACAGCTGGAATGCTCTGCTCTGGATGCCTGCGTTGTACGGTTGGCCACGTCAGCATCCCTGGTCTGCATCCCATAGATCTTCAAAGAGCAGAAGCTGACCCCACCTCTGATGACAGCCCATCCTGCACAACGCACGGGGAGCACGTTGCCACCTCCTCCCCACTGCGCTTCCCTGGGCTCTGCCCTCTGGAAAGGCACTCCTGGGCTCAAGCAATATCCCTGAGAAAAAGCAAAAACAACAGAGCTGAGATCTGGCAAAGGCATGGGATAAGTGAAACTGAAAGCTGGTGAGCCCACAGGGCACTGTGCGAGACCTCCTTTCTTTCCCTCCATGGCTCTGCAAACGCCAGCAAGGAAAGCGTTGGCATCTGTGCCCTTTGGTCACCCCATACTGAGCAGCACTGCTTCCTTCCCCACAGTTCCACAGGTAATGCTGGGAACAAGGCTCTGCTGCTGCTGTTTTCTGGTCTATCTGGATCCCAAGCTGCTGCTGTCAGTGGTGTAAATCCATGGATGTCACGCAAGGAATTTTGCTCCACATGAGCAGCAGCTCTGAGCTCTGCTGGTCACTGTGCTGCTCATCCACCCCACACATCCGGATGCCAGATTTGGGAATATACTGCAGGGTTTATGGCAGGCAGCAGCAGCTCCAATTGCTTTGCATATTTTAGATTCAAGCAGGAAGAATTAAATGAAAGACCCAGATAATAGATGATACACACACTTAAATCTGAAGGTCCAGAAACTAGACGTAACCAAACAAAACACTTCAAGGTCACTTTAAAAGGCGACCTGCCCCTCTGCAGATTCCTGAGTCTCTGTGGAATTCAGGTTTTCCTTTCAAGTGCCAGCAAAGCTACTATTAAGCAAGTTTGCTCGCAGCCCCTCGTCTGGGATCTCTCACTTTGGACAGGTTGCTGCACTGGGTCTGCTCAAAATGCCTGGGGGAACGCGGAGATTGCGGCGCAGATGTTGCAAAGCCCAACACGTGCAAAGCAGCTCATTATCCAGCAGGACCTCACATCTGCTGCAGCAGCTACTTCTGGCCCTTGTGGTTAAAAAGGAAAAAGCAAAACGTTGGGGATTAAACGTAATCCAATGCAAACTCACATCCCCTACAAGGGGCTGGCAATGTCGGTCCCAAGAACACCTTGCCTGCCGGCCACCACGCGCCAGCCACACAGCCACAAAGGGTTAAGGCAACCTGCAGAAAATATCTGAGGCATTCTTAAAGGACAGCACACATCCCTTGCTTCCCACACATCTCCCCAAAGCGGTTTTCAACCCAACAGCCTCAATAACCATCTCCTCTCCTGCAGGGTGGCTGTACGACTACACACAGACTTACGCCTGCTCGTTCCTCTTTGCTGGTGCCTGTGCTCTGCTCTCTCCTGTCTCCTTCTTCTTGGAGCCGCTGGCCCAGAGGTGGAAGCTGCAGAAAGCCAACGTTCCCATGCAGAGTGAAGCCATCCTGCAGGGCAGCTCGGGAAGGACTGGCTTTGGTTGCAGCCACAGCCAGACGCCTGCCAGCACAGACCTGCAATGTCAAAGCAAGAATTGTTAGATGCTGCACGCACAGCTAGCGTGTCCAGATGTGTCATTAAAGCCACCAAAACATGCAGTGTGAAGCGTTCTGTGGCAGGGCTGGGGATATGGGCTACCCCTGAGCTCCTGCCCTACACCCCCACCCCGCTGCTGGGATCCACCAAGAGCCGAAGCACAGCAGGAGCTTTAGCTTATTATCACAGAATCACAGAATCACCCGGGTTGGAAGGGACCTCAAGGATCATGTAGTTCCAACCCCCTGCCCAGCAGGGCCACCAAACACACACATTCAGATCAGGTTGCCCAGGACCCCGTCCAACCTGGCCTTGAACACATCCAAGGACGGGGCATCCACAACCTCCCTGGGCAGCCCGTTCCAGGGCCTAACCACTCTCCTTGTATAGAACTTCCCCCTAACATCCAACCTAAATTAACCTTATTAACTCAGCCTTATTAACTCAGATACAGCTAATTAGCAGCAGGGAAGGAGGCAGGAATAGGGATAGGTAGCAGAGAGAAGATCTGAACTTCCAACGGGATGCAGTAACAGCTGGGCACTGCATGAATGATCACAGCAGAGGGCTCAGAGCTGAACCTGCTCTCCTTAAAGCCAGGAGCACAGTAGGGCAGAATCACACCCACCCATCGGGATTCTCCCCCCAAAGCAGCAGAACCCACAAAGCCCCAGCCCCACATGTTGGCCCCACGCTTCCATTTGGATGGATGAGGGGTGTTGTTCCCCTGTAGGAACATTACTTCGAACTGCAGGGCGATTCCAAGCACAGATGAAGTGGTCTGTAGGGCACAAAAAGCTGCAGTGGTGTCGAGGAGCTGCAGGGAGGAACATTGGCTCGCAGGTAATGGGCCAAATTCAGTGGGCACACAACTAAGTGATGCCAAAGAAATCGTGCATGCTTAAGAGGGAAATATGAGAGCTTTGAATTTGCAGTCAATGGGGGAGGATCAGTGGTACAAATGCCTTGCTTTTCATAGACCTGCCCACCTCCTGCAGAAACGCACAGGCAGCACCTGCTTCAGAAATTGTCCTTTGCACCTTTATAGCACGTGATTCAGCTGTGCCAGCTCATCCTGGGGGCCGGGGGAGGATCTGCAGTGGGTCAGCTTCTGAGCAACAGGGCTGTCAGGCTGAAGCAGACCAGATGAGGCACCAGGGGATACAGAGGGGTGAGCGGGACCACTGTGATCGGCTGTGAGCCAGTCCTGCACTGAGCATCGGGCTGACAGCTGCAGCAGAGATTAAGCATTCATTGGCAAATTTAAGTTTTCACTTCTTGCAATATTCAAGCTCCTACTCACGTTCCTGCTGAACAAATTAAGACTGCCACGTTTGCTGCTGCAATAGGAACCATCCAGGCTGTGCTGCTCTACACTCGGCTTCAGATTCTCCAAATCAAGAGCTTCAGACAAAGCCACAACCCTCTCATTTTTCACCTCAAACACACGTGCTGTGCTTCCTGCTACCCACCATCATGAAATGCAGGGAACAGAGCTGATCCACAGCCTCAATCCACTGCACTGACCTCTCTGCCTGCTTTGCAGCACCCACCTACTGCATGCTCTAACCTCTCCCAAGCAAGCACTGCTGCATTCTCACCTTCTTCCCCATTGAGAACCGACCTGCAGCAGGACAGGGTGCATTGCTTTGCAGCCCCCACCTCCTGGGTTTCCTCTCCCATACTCTCCCCTTGTGCTCTTTCCAATCCAAGAGCTTAAAAACTACAACAAAACCCAGCAACCCTTCAGTCTCATTCTGCACCTCTAACACGTGCGCTTTGCTTCCCGCTGCCCAGCGGTGCAAGATCCAACCATCAGAGCGACGTGGGAGCAGAGATGCTCTCCAACTCAGTGACCCACACCACTGCTTCCTTACTCTTATTTAGGAAAACTGAGGGTCTCCATCATGCTTGCATCCCCCACCCCCTTCTGCAAACAGCTCTGAATCCCCCATTTCCTGCAGCACCCAACCCACAGCCTGACACCAGCAGCCCAGAAATGACTCAGCATAGGCAGGGCACCTTTCCTGTGCCCTGATCACCTCCTCATCTCCATCCAAAAGGCTCAGGAGCCCCACGCTGTCCCAGCTGACACACAGCTCCAAACCTTCCTCGCTGCAGCTCAGGACAACCTGTGCAGATCCACTCCTCTCCTCTCAAACCTTTTGCTGAGGAGGCAAGCACAGAACAGATGCTTTAGTTTTTCCTCGCATGGCTGAGGAGCAGAGCCATTCATTGATCCATTCACGCACAACGCACACATCACAGCGACCATGGGAACATCTGCCCAGAGGAACATCCTCTATCCCAATGAAGCCCTCTTACAAAGAGCTTCCTAAAGGCAGCCCTGCACGGTGGGCTCTGCTGGGGCAAAGCAATTGCCATAGAAATCTAGCTGTAAAATCCCCACCAGAGCTGAGGAAGCTGAAAACCTTCGCAAAAAGGTGCAGCAAAGGTCATCAGTGAAACCACCCTCCAGGGAGCGTGAGGGGAAACTGCTGCACTGCCATCACTCAGTGAGCTGCTCCCAGAGAGCAGCAGCACCCACAGACCTGATCCTGCCCTGAGGGCTCTGCAGGAGCTGGGAGAAGGAAAGCTGCTGGGATGCAGCTGCAGCCGGAGACGGCATCAGAAAGCAGTCTGCACGAATCCTTGCTGCACATGGGAATTGGTTCATGCAAAAGTGGCCGGGGGCCGTGGGCTCCTTCCATCCCACCCTCCCCCGTGCTGTGATCCTCTGATATTCAACACCTCAAATGCTGCTGTTTTCAAAGAGCATCGTGCAATTCTCCCCCCCCCAGATCCGCATCCAACACAGCACGCTTTCACAGCCAGAACAAACCAAGCCTCCCGCTGCTTCAGTTCCTCTCTCACACCTGGGAAAGCTGCCCTTAAGTTTAGGAGAGCTGCTTTCACTGAGGGTGATGGGAATTCATCAGCTGCCCTAATGGAAACCAAAGGGAAGAAGGAAAAAAAAAAAAAGGACGTGTTTGATAAAGTAAGTTCTAGCTTTGGGTTAAGCTTACAGAGCCCAAAGCTCACTGAAAAGGCCTTCCAGCCTGCAGTAACCTCAAAAACCACGAACTCACATCCATGCCCACCAGCAATTTCACAAGTCATTAATGGACCAAAGTCCCCACTCTGGAGTGATGCAGACTTTGGCTCCTGAGCTTCTGAGCACTCTCCCCTGCAGATATCTCTCACATGGGTGAGATAGGGCTGGGAGGTGCCTGCACACCCAGCACTCCATAGGACCCATCCTGAGCCCTCGAGCCTTCATTCAAGCAGGGGAAGGAAACCCTAGAGGACGAAGCAAAGGCCATGAGGAAGAGCAGAGGTATTTGTCAACAGCCCCGTGACAGCTGGGAACGTGTCTGCACTGCTTTTATTGCCTTAGGAAGAGAGATAGGGAGCAGGGAGAGGAGCAGCACGAGGGATGAGCCCAAGTGCTGCAGGGCAGCGGTCACACATGGCAATGGGGCTGCATGGCTGCAGGAACAGCAGCTCCCTGCCTGCGCCCCCAGGGCTCTTAGTTCTGCAGTACTCAAAACACAGCAGTGTCGTGCAGGAGGAGCTGCTCCTCACCAAACCCATCGCACTGCAGGGAAAGGTGCCAGCACAGGGCAGGACGCGGTGCTGACAGTCAGCCCGATCCTTCCCCCGTGTCTGGGGACAGGAAATACTGGAGCCAGCTGAAAAGCTACGGGCTGATCTTCAGATCCGATTGCAGAGCTAGGTATGAAGGTCAAGGCAGGGAAACGAGTAGATGAAATATCCATCAGCCACAATTAACCTGGAGCTCAGCACCCTTACAGCAGCCTTACTGCAATTAACGCCATGCCGGAACGGGATACGAAGGATTTGCAAACTGAGAGAAGGTTTTGCCATCTCACCCTCACCCTCTGCTGCCAGCACTGCCCACAGCAAAGCACAGCTGACCATCCTCACCCCCCACAGCTCCATCTCCCCATCCCCAAGGCAGCTGTAGGGAAGCACAGCCCTGCAGCCAACACAGAACCGCAACGCTTCCCACTCCTTTCCCTTCTGCGAGGGCAGACATGTGGCGAGAGCAGATCCTCAGAGAGCATTTGCCATTTCACTGCAGAGCCAGCTCGTTATCAGCCCAGAGCAGGAGCTGGGCCATCTGATGCTTTAAAGTGATTAATTGAGCTGCGGCTGGGAAAAGCACAATTTGGGGGGAAAAAATAGGAGGTGTGAATCCAAGGAGCTGCTGCCCCTTCTCCTCTGCTCCCATCTCTTCCTGCTGCAGTGCACTTCATTAAACGGTTCTCTTTACAAATCCACTTTCCCCTGATTGCCTGCCCGAAGTCTCATTAGCCAAATTAACACGATGCACACAGAGCACTTAATGAAAACCGGGGTCCACCTGGCAGCTGCAGCACCCCTCTGTAAGCAACCAATGTCTCGGTACAGAGCCGCCCCATAGGACCTCCAGACCTGTGAAAAGGACCACAACAACCAGCAGCAGAACAGCAGGACGGGCAC